CGAATTAATATTTTTTTTTCAATTGTTTTTAGAACCCTGTTTTTCTAGATAGGCTTTTCATAATAAAAATGATTTTTTCCATGCAAAAATAGATTTAAGTGTTTTCCAGCAGTTCACATTTCTCAATGAAAAGATTTTTCTTGTAATGAAAAAGGAAACAGAGATGAACCAATATAGAATTACACACTACATCGATTTCTACGAAGTTATTTTGTTTCCAAAATCTAACGTTACTTATAAAACAGGACTTTAGTGGAAATAAATGACACCTAGAAAATCACATTTAAGAAACTGAGACAATATGAACTTCTTTATCGATTAGGTATTTTTTTCATTATCTAGTCAAACAGATGTGTTGGTTTTCGTACTAATTTTGTACAAAAAGGCAATAAAGTATTCAACTTTATTTGCGTCTCAGCTGTCATGGTAATTTTTACGAAAATTTGAGGTTTTACGCTTCTCTTTTTCATTTGCACACACATTTTATTGTCTTTATTCTTTAAAAAGCTTGAGATTTTTCTCAAAAAAACAAGTAAAAACTGTAATTTTTGTGACAATTACTATGAAAGCTGACATTAAAAAAGAATTTGAGTAGTTTGTTCACGTTTCGTACAAAATTAATACAAACAAACGTCATGCCTATTCGATTGAATAATGTGAAGAAAAATTTTAAAAATACTGGAGAAAAAAATGGAAAAAAATAAGTTCATTTAAATTTTTGTTGTCGCCGGTACTGCTTGGGCTATTCTGCCTTCTCTTTAAAATACATTTGTTGTGCAAGAATCAATTTAATTTTCTAATTACGTTAATGTGCTTTTTTCACAGTTATTCTACCTCTATTGATGCTTTTTGTTATATGATATTAATTATTTTGTTTTTCTACTTTTCAAGAACGGCTTTTTTCTTTATATTATGAATTTTTTGGTTGTTGTATACTTAATCTGTATGTATTATGCTTAAAAAACAATAAAATCATGACCATTGATAATTAAAACTGAGATAAGCTCTTTTCAAAGTACAAATATTGAATTCACAGTCTCATGATTGAATTGTTACAACTAGTTGCCAGAATCTCGTCTGAATACCTCCAATATGTATAATCTGGAAAGTTTTATTTTAGTTGATATAGTGTACTATGAGAAAAAGGTCATATTGGATTATAGTACAAGTGATCTATCTCTTATTAAAAAAATGTCCATCTATTGGAATCCCTAATCGTGTACAAAACTTGACCAAGATTGTTATGCAGTAATTATCATTCATCAATTGAAAATGTAACAATAATTAAGTTAGAATTCAAAACATTCCACAAACAAGAGCTCACAACACTATCAAACACAATTTCACTGATGAAATGACAATCATTGACACACGCAACGTTGATATGGGTGCTATAAACTAAATTTCTTTGGATTTCCTTGAATTCCACGAATTTCTAAATGACGGTTACATCTTATCAGGAATGAAACAGTTTACTTAATGTCTGTGTTTATTGTCTGATTTATGTTTTGTATGCGTAAATATGGGTTGACCACGTTGAATCCTACAGTATAGACAGCGAAGAGTCATGTCTTTCACTTGCTTATTCATTTTAAGTAGTGCAAAAATAAGAATGACAACAGCAAGCGATATTAGATTGTCTTTCAATGAATAAAGTGATTCTGGAGGTGAATGTATGGATCGTATCATATTCCAAAAAGGAAGAATTAAACAAAGTGCTCCGCCACACATAATAATGCTTAATAAAACGAAACTATTTCGAACAAGTTTTATTCCACGCTTCGCATTCGATGAATGAGAATTCATCCAATTGGATTGTAAAGCAGTAACCCGTTGTGACGATCTATAAGCATGATGCACAATGATACTATACACAAGTGCACCAATAATGACAGGTATGATAATAGCAGTTATATTGACATATGTTGCTGTCCAAAACTTTTTTGTTGTTAGTGTACAAAGACGCGATTCCTGTTCAAAAATGAAACCATTATAAAAGAGAGGCTCGATCGGAAATAGAATACTTATTAACCAATTCAAGATAATCATAAACCAGTGAACACGATAAGTAAGAAGACATTTGTGCTTATAAAAGACAGCACAAAAGAGACGACCGATGGCTTGAATCAAACATGAATATGTGAGACAAGTACACAACATGACATAGCAATATCCTCGAAAGATACACGCTGGTTGCTGGAAAGCCCAATCTTCACGTAAACCATATACTGATGAAATAATATTGAGAATGAAGTAACCAACAGCGATTACACTCGTATTACATGTGAGAAGATTGCTAATTCTATGACATTGTCGATGAATAATAATGATGAGAATTATTATAATACCCAAAACCAAACCGACAAATGAAATCATAATTGCAATCGAGAAGTTAATGATGAAATATACGTCAGAAAGCATAACGATTTTCACTTCTAAAAATTTCTCATATAAATTATCTTCAATGCAGCAACTATGACTTTAAATGCATTTGCTTTTTTTCTACAGAAAGGAGGATATTCAAAGCGCACTATTTAAAAAATTCATTAGTTTCTCAATGAATTTCTAAAAGCTTCATAATGAGCAACATTCATGAAGTCATGAATGCATTTAAATTCTTAAATATGTTCTCATTCTCATTTCAATATGCATCAAAGAAAGATATAGACAATGAGCGATAATGACATATTGCTTGACATCGAGAACTTCGACTATTAATAGTTGATGAGCACCCAGCGTTCCATCATCTTCTTGTGTTATTTGTAGTAAAAATTTGATAAATTAAGTTTGAAAAGTCGAAAAAGTCTAGAAAAACTATAACAAGCCAACAGCATCAAGTTTAGCTAAGCTGGATATTAGGGATGAAGCCCAACTTTTGAGCTAAAACATAAAACTTTATCAGTTTTTAAGAATTTATTTCAAATAAACAAAGGTAGTAATTCTAAAAACAAAAAAAGTAATTTTAAATGATCGCAATAAATATTTGTAAAGTTGAATGAGCTAGAAAAAAAACTAATCTATAGTTATTTCGTTTATGAATCAAATATTGTGTTTTTCTCTGTGAATTATTAATGAAATCTAGAAGAAAATTTCCATTGCGAGTTATGCCAATAAATGAAAGCACGATAATATAAATTTTTATTTTATTCGTAACCATGACACAAGCACTTTAAATGATATCAAGATAAGTTTTAATCAATTGAAATTTTTGAAATGAAAATATCAAACGTAATATATTGTCTCTGTTTAATATAAATTCATAAAGAATATTTGTTCAAGAAAATTTTTCCAAATATTTCTTTTTCTTTTTACTAAATTTTTCAGAAAATCACGAAAAGAATTCTCTAGAGATTATCTACAAAATCTTTATTTGCATAATTTAAAATGTTTTTAGGAATCACTATGCTCAATTCTGTCGAGGATGAGAGAGAAACTTATCGATCAAATTCGAACATTCAATTTCGATTTTCATGGGTCGACTTTTGACACAAATATTTCAATTGAAATTCATTCTGACGTTGTCATTCGAAAGTTTACTTAAGATTTTCAGGAAAACTTGAAAGAAATTTTAAAAAAAGCCTTACAATGAATAATTCAATAAATATTCTAAGAAAGAAAATCGACTAACCAAGGAATATTCTCAATTGCCATTTGCTTTTGAGTCAGACCTAGTACATCTTATAGGGTTCAGTGAGTGATGTCTACTATAAAAAATGTTTGTATCCCTAGCTTGTCTTTGAGAAGAACAAACATTCTTAATTTTCTAGCTAGTATTGCCATAAAGTTTCAACTATTTGATAAAAAAAGGCTACTCTGATTTCGATGAAACTTTCAGTATTTGTAAAGCTTTTAATTCTAAGTATTTCGATAGAAATTTTTTATAAAACCATTTTATGTTGATGAAGTCACACTAAAAGTAATGTAAACAGCAAAAACCTACAAAACTCTAAAAAATACTTATAGAAGAAGTCAAACAATGTGTTGCATTCGGTTATGATTTTCAATGTAACATTATTTTTAGAAATCGATTAATATCACATTTGTTTCATTTTCAATAGTACAGTTCGATACCAAAGTGTTATACTATAGTATCCTCAACAGTTTGCATGTGAAACTAACTGAAGATCACTATCAAATACAAATCAAATCTACAGAGATATTAATTGATCCAACTTTTTTACGAAATACAGAAAAAAAACTCATAATCTTAATTCAGGTCATTTTAATAAATCAAGTAAATCTGTTCAAACAACTGATTGACAAAATGCATTTCCACTAGAAATTTTTTCCTGTAGCAACAATGAAAAAATCATTTAGGTGAAATTACTGATTATTTTAAAAAAACAATGAGATGAAAGTTGGAACAAACTTCTTTCAGACAATATGAAAAGAGAAACCATTGAAAAATTATTCGAAACATGTCTAATGTTGCGAACCACATCAACAACTCTTGTACCTCTACTTCAAGAAAAAAAAACCTCATATCTTGAAAAATCTTTATCATTTGTATTGACTACAAAACAATGCATAATACTCGATGGTATTATTGTCCATTGCATATTAGAACAACAAATGGAAAGAACTTTATATTTTGCTATCCATGAAAAATGGTGAGATTTTAAAAAAGACATATCACATACAACACGTTCAAATTAGAAATCATCGGAACATGTTTCATGACTTATCTTAGAAATAGGGCGTGGGTTTGAGTGTGAGTATAAAGAGAAATGAACACCGACACCCACACCCTCATGTTATATAACTCTGATCACTCTTTATTCTTTTTTGTTCTTAAGTTTAACCCTTGATCTCGGTAGCTGGTATACATATATATGATTTTTTTTCTTAAGGACAGATAGAGATATAGCTGCATGAGTGTATGCAGACATTTTGATTGTTTGAAATAAAACAAAGACAAGCTCGAACATCAGACCTCTAATACAAAATGTTTAAGCCTAGTTTTACCAATTAAATATTATAATCTGTCCTGATATAATCAATCATTTATGGCATAGCATTATTTGAAATAGATTGCGCTTCTCTTGTTGAAGAACATTAATCCATTTCGAACATGATTGAAGCCACGACGAATGATTGTATTCTTCTTTTGACTTGACGTTGGCACAATCACCGATGAAATTGATAGTTAATTTAAGACGAACAACAGTATCAAGAAGTTCAATTTCATTTCGATCTAATTGAATTAGATTTTGATAAGATAAGAGAAATGTATTCAATCTTTTGTCATCGTCAACACCATTAGTGAGCAAGAGAAAGAGAGCTGTAGCTAAGTCAACAATCAATGGAGCATAGCAGGCTTCACCAAAATCAATCACGTAGATATGACGATTATCATCAGTACAGAGTGTATTACTCGGTTGAAAATCATTGTGAATTAGACCTTGTTCCAATTGATCGACCTTTCCATTCAATTTCTCTCGACATTCGAATAGTATCGAATGAAGATAGTTGATATCAATTTCTTCGAGATGTTTACATAGATAAAGATGATCAAACTGTTCTATCCACCACTGATTTGTTAATACTCGTTTCTCTATATTTGTGGAAGGTACTATGGACAGGAAAGTTCGTGATGCTAGATGCAATTGTCCAAGTAAAGTTCCCATTTTCATTAAATATGATTCGTCAAGTTCGCTCAAAGATGGTACATGACCATCGAGAAATGTTTGTACGAAAAGATAATGATTATTGTCAACTTGAACAACAATTTTCGAGGACAACGTCGAAATGATTAGTGAGCACGGATAATTTAGATTCGAATAAAGATAATTTTGAAATTTAGCAATGATTATGAGATGTTCAACATTGAATCGATAATCAATTGTTTTCACCACATATTTTCTATTCATTTCGAGACACACTAACCAGGTTTCTTCTTCAAGATAGCCACCTGGTAAAGTATTAACAGATATGATATCATGAAAACCATATTCACTTTGAAGTACATCTTTAAACTTAAACTTGTAAACGGTGGAATTCATTGTTAAATTTTTATTATCTAAACATAAGACAATAGTAAACTAATGACTAATTGTCTTTCATCAATAAAATGCTAGTCATTCTTATGTGAAATAGAAACTCTCACTTACTAACACACTCAATATGCACGTATCAAAAAGTCCACACCTCTTGTTTAAAAGAAGAATAGAACAAAGATAATTTTATGTCACAATTGTCACTCTTATTACAAAACAAGAGCAGATTGTTGAGCAAGAATTTATCTTTTCATCGTATCAGTTTATATGAAGTTAAATTGAGAGAGAACAATTTCTTCTTACTTTTTATCGTCCATGAAGCAAAACTAATCTCTTTGACGACAGTATCAATCGAAAAGGGTGTGGGTTTGGCTGTGATTGTTGGATATTAAATGCGCCCACACAAACACCCAGATCTACATCCATCCCACAACCACATTCACACCCTTTTGCTGCTCATGACTGCTTTTTTAGCACTATGTGTAACCTATGCTTCTAATGTTCTTTGATTCGATGTTTATCATTAGTGAACGTATGTATTCAGATATGTTATTGGTTCCAAAAGTACAAAATACTTTTGATTCTTTATTTAAAGAAAATATAATTCTTCAATTATTAATTGCAGTTGATGTTGATATGTAATTTCGTGGTCTTGTTTTTTTATTTTAAGTAGTAAAAAGAAGATATATGGAACGATGAAATAATTAAGAGATAACTATTAAACATGAAACAGGAACTTGTACGATTTGAAGAGAATTTAACTATGATTAAAAGAATTGTTGATGTTAGTTATCTTGAATGTTATATAAAGACAAAAAAAGACGAATATTATCTCTAATGTTAAATATGATTTAATTTAATATTCATTTCATTTTTGAGATGTTTACCAAATATTTGAACTGCTAACGTTTTCAATATTAATAGAATAGTCGAAAATGAAGAGTAAATTATTCATTAATTGGAAATGAATCAATATTTACTATGACATTATCTTTAATCGTATACGATAAATCAATACATAATTCTCTTCTTTTTTGATACTTGAATCTTTTAAATAAAAACTATTCTTTTATATAATTGTTATCCTTGTGGTTTATCGAATATGAGTGAATCCGTGGGATTTCTACCACAATTTGGAAAAAGTTTGTTTTTTGGATTTTGATATTCTATTATTGGATCCAAAATAAAAGGCAGGTTACTATTTTTCGAATAACTTTTCATAGGAATGAGATAGAAAGCTGCGGTTTTCATCATTCGAAAGAATAGATGCTGGACACCAATTCCATATAAAAACCAAGGCTCTTGTTCAAGAGTGGGTTTGGTAGTTCGGATCATGCTCTATAAAACTACACAAATCACAGATCTCTATCACTTATCGCTCGGACAGGGGTTCAATTTTAATAGAAGCAACTGCATCGAAATTCATGAGTTCTCATTTCTTCTTGGAAGATGGAAGATGTATAGAAAATTGGTCATCGTCTATAGTGAATGTTCCAGAATAATGAACTTTATCCCAAAAAAGAGTATCCCTGGTTCAGTCCATGAAATGAGTCTTCAAACTGAAATACAAAATCATAACAGAGCTGAAAATTTTACGAAAAAGGTTTCCTGCTGATGAAAATATGTGTAAGTGGACAACAAAAAAAATAGGAATTCAATCATCAAAATCTTCATCCATTTGTTTATTGGTCTCGTCCTCTGGTTCATCGTTTGTATCGTTGTCGATTTCATGATCAGTATCATCACTTTCTTTTTTATTTGTATTTGATAAAAAGCAACCAAAAAAAGAAAAAAAATGTATGCATTCCTTTTCGTTCCGATGCCACCCCTTGCATCGGAAGAAAAAAAAGTACAAAGAAAGAAAGAGTAAAAACGTTGATAAACATGATGTAATTGTGCCTTAAAAAGACAACGAATATTCTTATTGCACGATTAGTCTCCCCTGATATAGCATACTAATACACGAAAGTGCAACTACCATATATATGGATAAACCGTGAATCATCAGAAATAATAGAAAATTTTTCGAAATTAGCACGCTACAGCGCATATGCAATGAGTCTGAATAACTTTTTCTGGACAGACAGGATCGAAAAAAGAACTGCTGAGTATTTCCACTTTCAAAACGTCATTATCAGCAGGAAGTCTACTTTTTCGTAAAATCTTCAGCTCTATTACGATTTTGTGTTTCAGTTTGAAGACTCATTCCATGGACTGAACCAGGGGCACTCTTTTTGGGATAAAGTTCAATATTCTGGAACGTTTAATGTAGACGATGACCTATTTTCTATACATCTTCCATCTTCCAAGAAGAAATGAGAACTCATGAATTTCGATGCAGTTGCTTCTATTAAAATTGAAGCCCTGTCCAAGCGATAAGTGATAGAGATCTGTGATTTGTGTAGTTTTATAGAGCATGATCCGAACTACCAAACCCACTCTTGAACAAGAGCCTTGGTTTTTATATGGAATTGGTGTCCAGCGTCTATTCTTTCGAATAATGAAAACCGCAGCTCTCTATCTCATTCCTATGAAAAGTTATTCGAAAAATGGTAACCTGTCTTTTATTTTGGATCCGATAATACTTAGATTAATTAGTAAAATAACATCTGACCAAAAACGAAAATTTTCAAGAAACGAATTGATCAAGATGTGGCTGATTTGACCTATCATTTTTTCATATAAACTTGAAAGGTTACAGTCAGTTAAATGCAACCCAAAGTCAGTTGTTTCTACTTTTCAGATACAGTGAAGTCACAATTTGTTTTTTGAAAAATAGATAATAATATCAATTAGGTCAAATTGATAGAATTATAGTGGAGATGGTAGTAATGAATTGAATTTCGTTTTACCAACATTAATTTTATACCTTATATGACAGATTCGGTTGACCTATTCTCGAGTGTTTCTCATTTGACTTGTTCAAATCACATATTTCGCTCAAACTTATGCTGCGAAAACCTTTTGAATAGTTCAAATTTTGATAGAGGAAGTTTTGTTTATTTTTCATGATTCGACATGCATTGCTCAAAAGTCTAAAGGATTAATTCAAAAATATACGACTATAATAATTACGAAGTAAGAATTGTTTGAGACATGTCACATGCAAATACTGGCTCAAGCGTCTTTTTTTTGTTTACATCAAAACAAAGGAAACAAAAAGCAATACATAGCTACCCTTTGTTTTTTGAGGTTCTTTTAGTCATCATAGCAAGAATAAGAAAGTAAAATGTCTTTTTTAAAGAATGCCAAATGATACATCTCGACCGAAACCTTTCTCAATAAACGATTTGAATTCATTGAAATTCAATCTGTAGTCACCATCGTTATCGGACTTTTGTATTTGATGAAGAAGCAAATGTGGATTTGCTTTGGGCAGGATAATGCATATAAATTCATGTAATTTAGTAATATCGATTGTGCCAGAATGGTCAGTATCAAGTAGACGAAATGCTTCGGGTACATCTTCGATTGCATGTTTTCCCATCATAAAAGTCCGTAATACTTTTATGAAATTATCGTAGGACAGTGATGGTTTGTACAGTTTCGATACAGCTCGTTCATATTCTTGCCGAGACCAGTTTATTTCATAATGTTTACTTTCTCCATAACCATGTTCATCGTATACATATTGTACTTCAGAAACTCGTCCATATTTTTGATGAATAATTTCCATTATGATCATTTTGCGTTCATCAGACATCTTAAATGTAATGTATCTTTTATTCTCAAAAAACATTAGTTCATTATTTGCATGTTAGTTCAGACATGAATGAAATTATATTAAAAAAAAACAATGCTTAATGCTCAAGAGAAATTTCTCAAAGTACGAAAACCTAGATGAACTATTTTCATTGAACTGAATAATCCCAAAAGAGTTTGACAATAATTTGGTTTCATGAAGAGCTATACCCGCTTGAAAATTTATAGTAATACTTCTTTGCGCGTATGTATATTTCGACGTACAGATAGTAATTACTCACTCCAATAAAAATACCAACATAATCTTATCGTTTCAATAAAGTTCTATATCTATCTCAGTTATGAGGTGTTACTTGTTATCAACTCAACATACTGTTGTTCTTCTTCTTTTTTTCTATGTTTTTGTAGTTTATATTAGTATAGTCAACGTTTCTGACTTTCAATAGGCATCTGTTTCTAGTTCGTAAAACCGCAAAATAACCAAGAAAACCATCAACATGTAGATTCAAACATCCGACCTGACTGTATTCAACATCAGACGGGTTTCGTGACATTAGACTCTGACTTACTAATCGAATGACGTTACTTTAAATACTGCAGATAGCAAGAAGACGCTCTTTCATTTTCTGGACAATTAAAACCTATGCGAGGAAAAATGACTTGACGAGTCTGAAACAATAATCAATAATGAAAACAAAAAAATATATATAAAGCAAGGAACATTTTTTAACACCCATATCGTCTTTTGATAATAAATGACGGGCAATCAGTATTGTTTTGTGGAAATAACTTTTCTTGATTTCCGTTCCTGTGCCCGTTAAAAACATGTTGTTCTCGTTCCCGTAAAAAATTATTTATTACCGCTTACGTTTCCATGCAATGATTGTCGGTTTCCATTCTCGTTTCGGTAAAAGAATTGTTTGTTCTCATTCTCGTAATGATTTGAGCGGTTATATTACTATTTCATTGAGTGCGCTTGAAAAAATAAACTCTGGTAAGCAGACATAAGCTTCTGTCAACATCGTATTTTGCAAAAAATTCCATGACGTTCAACTGAAAATATAATTATTATCGTTTGAAGTACATTTTAGTAAAATATATCAATTATTATTTATCCATCGGAATTTATCAACATTAAATTAAGAGAATGATATTCTTCATCAATTCAACAATTGAGAAGCATTAAATACTAGCCTATCATCAAATACAGTGATGAAATAAATAATGATTAAAATTAACCAATTTTCGTTGAAAAATATTTGTTATTCTCTGTTTATTAAATCAGCAATGCAAGAGTCTATGGTAGAAAATCGAAATCTGCTTCTGAACAATGAAAGGACAGTTTATTTTCAACATTTTTTTGATAGAGTATAAACTAGAGAGTATACGCATGAAATGAAATAAAATCATTTTTGGAAATGCCCATTTTTAATATCGTTCCCGATTTCCTTAGAAAATGAGACAAGAGAATACGAGAAAAAAAACATTCTCGCAAGTCTTTAGAACATGCACAACTTACTAGAATAAATATTATTTCGCTAAGTATGTTTTACTAAGGTGTGATTGTAACTGTCGGCTTCTACTCGAGGGACAGTCTAAGATGAACACTTAGTTCTTTGTTGTTAGTTATCGATTCGTATAATCATGTTGTAGATGGTATCATCAACATTATATTATCGTCCGTTAATTCCTCATTTTCATGGTGACCTCTATTCTCCTTTCTTACATCCCATTCCATATGTAAGCGCTCAAAAGCGTCATAATTAAAACGTACATAAACAAAAAAAAAGAATAGCAACATTTCGAGGTACATTTGTCTTTTGATCGAGAGTCTGCAAAGGACTTATTGGAGGTGTCCAAATTTGAGAGAAAAAAAAAACAGAAAAATTCTGAATCTCATCCTGAAATAACTCTTCTGGAAAATCAAATCGTTTTCTTATGGCGAGAAGATATATGTATATTTCATCAATCGACGCGCTGTCATTAGGATCTTGAATCATTTTAACAGCATTGATATGATCGTGTTCGAATAAAAGACAGATCAGTTGGGGATAGTCATCAATAGGTATCTCAGCCACTATTGATTTAACTTTGGTACCGGCATGTTCAACAAACATCAATAGAAATCTATTAAAAAGATCCATATTCATATTCTTTTATTTCAATTCAAATTCACTTACCTTTGGTAATTGGCACCTGTTGTACAATCCCATGCTCAGACTAGATAATTGCTTGCTAGATAATTAATCATTTCAATATTACAAAGTATATTTTTACAAAATAAATGTGTAACCGCCATCCTATTGTGATGCAAATAGAATAGCAAAGGACGTAGCTGTTCAAAAACAAATCAAGCGAACATATTCTTTCAATCTATGATATAAAATAATTAAAAACTTACTTCTCTATGATTAAATAATGAATGATTGATGGCTTCATCGAGTGGTCCTATATACAGTGCAGGCCCTGCTGATCGATAAACTTCAGCGAAGTTTCGTGCGAATTCTTCTATTGTTGATCGAATCTGATTTTCAGATACTTCTTGTTCAAGGATAGTGTAGATACTAAATTATGAACCATTTTCGAATGCTATGTTTTTGACAGCGGTATAAGGTGTAGTCCATAAAGAATGATGGTCTCAATATTTGGAAGACATTCAAGTCTGTTCTCATTGATCAACTTTGAACTTTTACCAAAAGTAATTCATATGTAATTCTGCACACAAGCCTACATTTCACTTTAAAAAAATATTTTTTCTTCATTGATTAAAATTGAACAAAGGCACGACTTGAATCTTACCAAATCTTCACTTTTTCAAGACTGTTTTTAAAAAACAGTTTAATTTCTAAGTCATTGTGGTTTCAGCTTACGCTGTCTTTCCAGCTGATGTACGGCAGTAGTTCGTTTCAATGAGTAAAATTTGAAAGAAAATGTTATAAAAAATCACAATAGTATACGACATAAAGCACTTTTTGAAAATCTGAACTTTAAAAATCAAAGATTCTGAAAAATTCAAATCGTATCTTTGTATACTTTGAAGCATGCAACAAAAAACATTCGGTTAAGTGAAATACATTCATTTGCGAAAAATCATAGATTAAATCTTTTGACAAAAAGTTCAAAATGGAAGACTGAAAACAAACCTAGGTATCTTTCTAATACTGAGAACACCATTCTTTATGAGTCACCCATTAATTACCACTTACTCAAACTCCTTTCTGATCCGACGAACACGTCTTCATTTGCATCGAGCTGTATAAATTATGATCAATAGAAATAAATAAATGTTCTTAACCATATCTGCGTACTTTACTATCATCAATTTCAACATTACTATCATCATTTGACTCTTCTGTTTCGTAAGAATTCAACATATGTATCGACGTTCGCTTCGAAATTCTGCAAAATGACACAATAGTTAGAATCAACAGTATTTATATTTCAATAAAAATGTATTTCATGTGTTTTTTTCTCATGATATACCTTATATTTACTCGAGAACGCAAATATTTTATGATTAAACATAAATGAGGGGAAAAACCATCAATCGGTCTAGATAAGAGTTCATACGTCCATGTGAAACTTTTTGCCAAATTAACGAGAGCTTGTGACGTGAAAATTCGTTTACGATTTAGCGATTGCACGATTATATATGTTACAAATTTGACCTTGAAAACGCGTTAAGGGTGTGGATACGGGTGTGGGTGACAGTGTAGGTATCATCCACTCATCCATACTTACACCCTCAAATGTTAAGTTTTAACATTCAAGACTACTTTGAAAAATACAGTGGAGGAAAGTAGAGACTATAAACAACCAATAAACAGATCAAAGTGATCATTTTCAAAATATCGGAATCTCTATGTTCAAGGAAAAAATGGTAAACATCACATTACATTCTATATGTTCTATTAGAAATAATGATCTCAAGTGCAACTGTGTTAATTAAATGAAATTTTCATGTATTAGTCTTGAAAAGAAAATAAATAAAATTGATTATTCGTTTGAGTAACCTAACTAGAATTCGAATTATGTCGAACGCTTAGTCCGTCTTTGTGACATACTAGCCATTATCAGAATTATTGCAAGATGACTACAATGAGATGACAAGCGTTAAGAATATTTTTATGTGAGATAAACCAAAAAGATAATCATAGAATATTTTAGAATTTTTCTATAGATCGATGTTCTAATCATCGAACTGATTAAATTCAACTCCTGATAATTTATTCTATAGCCTACAGATGTAAAATGTCAATGTTTTAAAGTTTAGTTTTATAAGAGGTTGTGATGAAAAATTGTATTTAAAACAAATCTTGAAATATTCACACTTTTGGTTCTTGAATAATTGTGAAATTTCCAAAATCTAATGTTTCTGAAACATTCGCATCCAACGTTGCGATAAAATTAATAATATCACTCAGGCATTGGTGTGCATTTAAACAAAACACCCACACCCAAAACAGTAGTCCTACAATCTCTTTATTTGTCATTCCTCTATCGAATGACACTCACTTTGGTCAAAACCCGACAAGAGTTATAGGACTACTTACATTTTTCGTGATATATACTTTTTTTCACGATAAAAAGTTTTCTGCAGTTTCTTTTTTTGAAAACTTTCACAATTCTGAGTTAGGTTAATTGCCGTCTAACAAAGTTCATCTCGACTATTTGCATGCTCATACCCGTGAGTCATATAAACTTGAACAGAGACGTGTTGTTGTTCAAACTTATCTGAACACAGGCGCATTATATGCCAACTATTCATGGTATCCATGTAGTACAGTACACCCTACCAAGATCGAAATCTTTCTATATGAAGATAACCTCTCTTTTACATCAGATTGTGCTGAAATTTTACAGTATTTCTCAAGGAAAATGATAAAATACTAGAAGAATTCAATAACAAAAAGCTTTCGAAATTAGTAATAAAATTAGACATTTCTATCAGTAATCATACATAAACAGTAAAATATATTGGAACAAAGGTGATCAAAGCAA